GATACTTTCCTCGCAACACACCGAATACGTCGACATTCCATACGCGGTTCCTATGTGATGTTAGACGAGATGAGATGAGAATCAGTATTCTGGAACATACCACTTCTTTGTGATAAGAGTGATGCCATCGTAGAAATGGGGCGAGAAGATCATGTTGGGATCATCGTCTTCTGTGCCCTTGACCTTTGGCGGTATCTCCAATACTGGCGGCTGGAAGAACATCAAAGAATCCGGGAACATGGACTTGACCATCTTGCTGTACGCCCGGTAGTGTGGCAGCCAGTAGTGGTTTGTGAAGTACTCATAGTCAATCTTGGCCCCATTCTTGGGATCGATTCCGAAGTAGTCCTTCTTCAAGACCGTGTCAGTCGCCGGGTCCCAGACACCGTGTTGCGCCCACAAGCATTCGCCCAACTTCCACCCTGGGTCGCGTTTCCAGCCGTATTTGGTGTCGTCGTAATCTTTCGATAGCCATGCCATAGTGCCCTCGGGGTCCACTAATGCCGAGCCACTCTTGTATGGTCCCAGCCCGCCAAATTCCCAAGTCGATATCTCGCAAGCTCTGCCCGATCCGGTAAGTATCGCCTGCCAAGCCGTCGGCGAGGTGCCCTTCTGGAGTTTTTGTTCGCTCGGAATCTGGGTAATATCTTGGTAGCTGATGAGGCCTCTGTTGGGCTCGTTCATGCTTTCCCACCCAATGATCGGGTCGTGCCACAAGTCGCCTGCTTGGTGTATCCGCTTCGCAAGATGCTCGCATGCCCCGATGTAGTGATCTTCCAGATAGTCCTGGATGTTCTTTCCATCTATGATGGCCTTGGGCGCGAAGTCCCTACCACCAAAGAACAGCGTCCACATAACCTGACACACTAATCGTGTGTAGTTGGTGGTCCAGATCATCTTAGGGAAGGTTGCAGGGTCGGGGTATGTGTTGTGCACGAGGGCGGCTTCGGTGACGGCGAAGTTCTCGGGGTCCAGCCCACAAGCATAGAGAGTCCACATGGGCGCGCCAGAACCACCAGAGAATCGTGACCACTATGTGATGCATTAGAGAAGGAGTGAATGAATCTATTGGAATGCTACCTACGACGTCCTGGTGAGGATCCATGAAGATGTAGAACCCATATTCCTTTGCCTTTCGTAGTAACGCGATAGTGTGGTCTATCCACTCCTCGTCGTACTTTCCCGGGCCCGCGTGCTCTATGGCTTCCCACGTGAAGACATAGCGGATGGTGTTGTAGCCCCAGCTACGTAATCGCGAGAAGTGTGTCGCGGAGTCTTCTAGGGAAAAGGGTCTGTTGACAAAGGAGACACTGTCTCCGTCGAAGAAGTTGTCTGGAATGTGTGACGGCTGATCTGGCTTCGCAGGAAACTTGGCGTCGGCTGCACAGTTGATACCGTGCAGGGTGACTTCGCGGTTCTGGGGGTCTCGGAATATGCGTCCGTCGATACGCAGCCGAATGGGAGACATTACTGGGGGCAGGCGTGTGGACGGTTACGAGGAGAGTGAATGAGAGGAACAGGAAAAGGTGCGCAAGGCGGGTGCGAAGAGGAGCTATGAGGTATGCGTCTGTCTAGTCCTGATGGCGTAGCGGCGGCGTTCACGGGCATGCATCTGGGCATGTCGTAATCCATGCCTGCCCGCATTAGCGTTCTGGGGGTCGCGGGGGTCAGTGCGTCCCGGCTATCATGCGGCTGGTCGCTGAGGACAAGTTGCAATTGTTCGACAGTGAAAGGCCAAATAAAGACACGACCCGCTCTTTCCATGAACTGACCGTCGCACCTGCCGTTGCTTCTCTGCGCGGACTATACTCCTGCTTGCTCAACATCCAACCTACCGTCACTCATTCATAGCACGTTCAACCGCATCCCGCCATGATACTCCGACTATCCTCTCTTGCCCTCGGGCTCCTCCCGCTCGCCAGCGCACTCTCCGCCTCGGACATACCCACGGACACTCCCGTGTCGCAGCTCATCAAGGACGCCAGCGTCCAACTCGCTACCGGCAACACCCAGGACGCCCTTCTCTACTTCGACATCGCCATTACCCGCGACCCGCGCAACTACCTCACCTACTTCAGGCGCGGCGCCGCTTACCTGCAAATCGGCCGAACGGCGCAGGCCCAACATGACTTTGACAAGGTGCTGGAACTGAAGCCTGGCTTCGAGGGCGCATTAGTGCAGAGGGCCAAGATCAGAGCCAGGAAGGCCGACTGGGCGGCAGCGCGCAAAGACTACGAGGCTGCCGGCAAGACCGATGCCATCGCGGAGCTGGAAGAAGCGCAGGGCGCTGCCATCATGGCGCAGGAGGCGGCAGAGAAGCGCGACTGGGACGCGTGTATCTCGAATGCTGGAACTGCCATCTTAGTCGCAGGAGGCGCATATGACATCCGCAAGACAAGAGCGAGGTGTCGCTTCGAGAAGGGCGAGGTCGCCGAGGGCATCAGCGACCTGCAGCATCTCCTCCAGATCAACAAGGGCGATATCCAACCCCATCTCCAGAGCTCCGCCATGGCCTTTTACTCCCTGGGCGAAACCGACAAGGGGCTCAAGCACATCGCGCAATGTCTTCAGTCAGACCCAGACTCGAAGGTCTGCATGAAGCTACGGAGGAGAGAAAAGAACCTCGACAAGGACATTCAAAAGGTGCGCAAGTTCTTCGAGAAGCGCCAGTTTGCCACCGCCTCGAAACTCCTCATCGACCGCGGCGAAGAGGACCCGGGCCTGTTGAAAGAGGTCAAGCAAGACTTCAAGGACTACACCGATCAAGGCTACATCTACGCCAACTCACCCCAAGGTCTCTATCAGACCCTCGTAGAGATGACCTGCGAAGCCTACGTCGAGATGAACAACCTGAAGAAGGGCACACCGTACTGTACCGAAGCCCTACAGCTCAACCCCGATTCGTTACACGCCCTCCTTCACAAGGCTCAATTCCAGCTTGACGCCGACGAATTCGAAGACTGCGTCCGAACCCTAGAGCACGCGAAAGAGCACCACCAGAACCAGAAGCTCGACGAGTTACACCACAAAGCGCAGACACTGCTCAAGCGCTCGAAGACAAAGGATTACTACAAGGTGCTCGGCGTGACGCGCGATGCAGACGAACGCGAGATCAAGAAGGCATACCGCAAGCTGACCAAGATGTACCACCCCGACAAGGCCTCGGCCAACAACATGACACCCGAGGATGCGCAGAAGAAGATGTCCCAAGTCAACGAAGCCTACGAAGTCCTCTCCGACCCCGAGCTCAAGGAACGATTCGACCGCGGTGACGACCCCAACAGCAACGAGCAGCAACAAGGCAATCCCTTCCAGGGTTCACCCTTCGGAGGCCAACAATTCATGTTCAGACAAGGTGGAGGTGGTGGCTTCCCTGGTGGCGGCGGTAGCTTCAAGTTCCAGCAGGGCGGCGGCGGTTTCCCAGGTGGTTTCCCAGGTGGATTTGGCTTCTAGACTATTGCTATTGCTTACTTATATGACTTGGAGTTTGGGAGCATGCACAGTGGGTCAGTCATTCACATGGGTAGAAGATTCTGGCGTTGTCCACTGTATGATATCGTTGCTTCGACTGTATTGAGAAATGAATTATGGTAGCTAGTAAGTGTGAAGATACCTCTTTCCTGCTAGTCCACTTTCCTCCTTGTCCTTGACTCATTTCGAGCATCCATCTCTCTTTGTCGGCATTTTCAATCGATTCCCATAATATGGCCGCTACGAATGGTCTCGTTTCATTTTGATCTGTCCTCAAGCGGACTGTACCCTGGAGGTATTCGCTACACTGTACCTTGTCGAGGGTCAACGCAGAGTTCAGCGGATACCTCCAGGCTGTAGTGTAAGCCCACCTTACTTTGTCTCGTATGATTTAGGTTTCGCAATCCATGGTCTTGGGACGAAGCCGTCGGGTGCGCCTCGCTGCTCAATGAGCTTGCGAACCAGGTCGTTCACGAATTCGGAGCAGGTATGCTTGATCAGATCGTCAAGACCGAGCCATGATGGTGACGCACTGAAGACCCAAAAGTCTACCAGCAACCGTCGGACGGGTGAGCCAGTGGGGGTACCAGCGTAGATGATCTGTACCGAGGTGTTTCCAGGGTGCCTGCCGTTGGTTCGGTTGCGTCGGATTATAGCGGCGACGACGCTGTTCTGCAATGTAACGTCCAAAATCCGTTCTCCTAGGACGTAGAGTCTTGCGAGGTATATGTAGCACGCCTCGTTATCAAGATGCGTGATCTTGCCTGTGTACAGCCATCCGCAATATCCTTCGAAAACGACTAGATCCACGTCAGATATGTCGATGGGCTTCGTAGCATCTGTGCGCCACTCTGATTTCAACGCGTTCTTGAAGAACCCGGAGCTCTTGGTCAAGGCGGTGGCATGAACATGTAACAGCGTCTCCGGATCGCTGCCGACGTGAATAGGTACGATGTCGCCTCTCAAGGTGGGTGTCTCGAACTCATCTCCCGCCTCTACCAGAACGATCATGGCGGTAGCTGAAGTGGGCGCGGGGATTTTCACTATCGGCATGTTTGACCTGTCTGCTCATAATGTCAGTCACGGAGAATGTGAGTCGCTTCGAACTTACTTGCAGCCACGACTTAAGCCGATGTCGAAAAGATGAGTTAGTGGACGAATAAGAGGTTGTTGAAGGTGCACACTTGTGGAACTGAGTGAGAGAACATAGGTATCTTCGATTTCGCGCTAACGATCTCTCACTCACCAACCTTGGAAGGTGCAGTCACACGCTCCTAGAGCCAGGTGAAGAAGACCCCGACATTCTAATTTGTTGAACCATTTCTGACAGAACAGGCGGCTATGTATGTGTACGATCTTGCTTCGCGCACGAACCGCACTCAGTTTAGTTTCCCAGGTGAGGAAATTACATATAACCCTGGAGGTATTCAATCTACTTTTTGTTGAATTTTTACTAGACCAGAGGACTATGTATACTTTATAGTACATCATCACTTGTAGCGTGTTCTAGATGCAAGGGATGTAGTCTCCTACATACCCCAGAATGTATCAAGCACGTCCACCTCCTCCTGGACGGAAGGGTCAGTATTGTTGGCAGGCTCATCCTCGCTGGGTGATCCATCCCCGCTGGAAGACTCATCTTCGCTGGAAAGCTCTTCCTCGCTGGAAGGCTCGACCTCGATGAAGGGCTCATCTATCATGGAAGGCTCTTCCTTGATGTGAGTTTCATCCTCAACGTAAGGCTCGTTCTTAACGAAAGCTTCCTCCTCGGCGGAAGGGTCATCCTTGATGGAAGGCTCAGAGATCGCCTCGCTGCCCCTGTCTTCCGGCATTTCGCTCTTGATTACGACACCCTTGTTGTAATAGGAACTTCGTTGCGATATCCATGGCCTAGCTTGGGAAGCACCCGGTAGTCCTCGCCTGTCTAACAGTACCGGTAAGAGGTCATCCAGAAAAGGTTTGTTCTCTGGCGCTCGAAGTTTCGTATCAGTCACCCAAGAGGAGTCCATGTTGAAAACCCACATATCCACCAGGAGACACCTTACAGGGGCTTCTCTCGGAGCGCCCTTGTAGATGGTTCTGATAGCTTCCAGATCAGGTACCTTGTAGCGCGGGACTTTTCGACTCAGTCGCGCAGTGACATTGCGGAAAATAATGGCGTCGACGACATCGTTCTGGAACGTTGGGTCGATCAACTTCTCTCCCAAGACATACATATGAGCCAGGTAACTGAATCCTTTGTGATCGTGTAATTTCGTGTCAAGGTCTCGAGTATATAGCCATTGACAGTATTTATCGAAAAGATGAGGCTGTTGGTCGGACAGATCGATGAACCTGCAGAGGTAGACGTACGAAGTCAGTAAATGTCACATATGCATACATTTGGTAAGGTGAGAACTTACCGGGAAGATGACATCGACTCGGACTTAATGGCGTTCCTGAAGAACTCGGAGCTGCTGCTGATGAGGTCCTTGTGTACGTCGACGATCTGGAGGCCGACTTTGACTGCGATGGTCTCGCCCGAGACACTAGAGACGTTAGATGCCTGTATTTTGAGAAGACATAGGCGTCAATTCACTCCGGTAGCTTGAAGGTAAATGTAGCTGATTCACATGAGTCTGGGGAAGCCATCTTGCTGTAGGCAATAGCAATGAGATAGTTAGTTAAGCAGGACGGTGGGTTGCAAGGTATTGGTTCGAAAGTGAACCCAAATTGCGACAGAACAGGCACAAAGCACGGACGCTGCAGCCTCAGCCGATCCTCAACGGTACGTAGTGAAAGTGAGTGTGAACTCGTCTCAAAGAGGAAAGCGCGCCTTTCTCTAATACCACCCACGATGGAAGCACTGACGTTTTTGGCACGATAGGCAAAATGCCGATTATCTTAGTGTAGCAATTCGGATATCCTGTGGAAAACACGCACGGCTAGATATGTATGTTCTGGTGCTGGACATTACACTACCTAGGTAGAGACTACCTAGTTAATCGGGTTAGAACAAGCCGTGTTCATGTGCAGGATCCAATCTCAACCCTGCAGCGGGCCTTGCAACGGTATTACCCATGAATTCTTCCGCCCTCGGCACCACATAACTCCAGTATCCCGCGCTTTTCCATCGATACGCTTCTTCAGCCCTCTCAATATCTCGATCCATCCAAGATGTCCGTTTCAGTCTCTTCACTACTGCGCCTTCCTCGCGAACTGCGCGATCAAATATACACTCACACTTTCGACGATTCGGAGCCCTTTGTGAAAAACCGAGCTGCAATCACGACATCCAGCAAAATCGCGCTCTTCCACGACCTCCCAGCCTTGTGTCAAACCAACCGCCAACTGTTCAGTGAAGCCACACCAATTTTCCTTGCTCAGAACCTGTTTTCCTGGAACACTCAGGAGTCGAATCAACTCCTGGACCTGTATTCTCATCTACCTGAAGATGCAGCATCCAAGCACGTCAAGCATGTCTCGATATACAATTGGACCGAGCAAGGCACTCCCGCGCACCTGGAACTAATTTGCAAATTCACCCAGCTCGAGTTCGTCGAAATCGTCTTCAGTTTCCCCAGTATTGAAGATGGCGTGCGCATGGAGAGGTTCGATTACACCAACGAGCAAGAGTGTTACTTAGAGACTGGCTTGCACTACGATCTTCCTGAGGGACGCAGCCTCGAGGAAGAGAAGGCGAGTCTTGCGCAAGACGTGGAGACATTTGTCGCGAAGTATGGTCTCGATCGCATCATCGATATGCCCAAGCTCGACGGCATGCAGTTCCAATTCGCAACGAATCAGGGTGAAGAGGATGCTTTTGGCGGTAACCAGGAGTATAGGCATCGCTTGTGCAACCCGTTGTGGAGGTGGGCGACGAAAAAGATGGAGGAGAAATGGGGGGCTGATAAGTTTTTCGTCACGACTACGATGCCGGAGGACTATCATCATGTGAACAGGCCGTATGTCGGGTGGTGAGCTCACTTGGACCCCAAGGTCCGCGAAACTAATCGCACTCCGCGTCGTAAAAGTACTGGATATCTCACCACTCTTTACGAATTCAAACTTCTTGCAGCTGCTTCTCATACCCGTCTGAGTTGGGCTCGACGGCTGCACTCCACTCGGCGCCTTCGAGGACCTATGTATATGAAAGGCAAGTGGCGATTGCTAGGGTCAAATTGTGACAACAGTGTATGATTGTAATCTTTGAGTTATTGACAGCGGCCTGCTCCAAGACCTATTAGAACCGCTCATGGAAGCCCTGGCCCTGATCTCGAGGTACCTTCCCGACTATAGAGTATCTATAGACATCTCCGGTGTGATTGTAATAGCTCTTAGTCGGAAGTGTCCATCAATTCATCCTTCGCATTCTCAGTCTCTTTCCCGTTGTTCTGTTCCGCCCTCAAACGGTACTGTTCAGGAGCCACCACCCACGGACTAAGTTTCCGATTGATAGGATATTTCGTACAAGAACGAATGAAGCCTCTCACCAAGTCGTCCACAAACTCCACGCTGGTTTCCTCTATAAGACTTCCTGTAATCATCCAGTCTTCATCGCAACCGTATACAAACATATCAACCATAAGTCGGCGTGCTGGAGAGCTTGCACTACTGGTACCCGAATAGATGATGTTGATAGCGCTTTCTGGAGGAAAGGAGTCCCTTTCTACTGCATGGTCGATCATAGCGGAAAGAACAGCGTTCTGGAAGGTCTCGTCAACGAGTCTTTCGCCTAAAACGTACAAACGAGCAAGTTGGATGTGTCTGCCCACAAGAGGCCGAGTGACAACGACCTTTCTGCTGTAGAGCCAGTTGACGTAAGATTCAAAATCTTCTGGTTCTTCGTCCGGCAGGTCAATTTGTTTCTTTGAGTTGGCGCGCCATCTTGGCTTCATGGCGTTTTTGAAGAAATCAGATGTCGCCGTCAGTGTACCGATGTGGACGTGGAACTTCTTTTTGCCCACTTTGATAGGGATTGGCGCGCCTGAGACACTAGGAGAAGTCAGTAGGGCTCAATTCATTATAAGTAATAGTTGCTCACTCTGGAGATGGCGCAGTTGTGTCGTCGTTAACATGGCTCCGGGTTTTCGTGCGTAGTGACATAATGTACACAGGCGAAGTATGGTTGAATAGCTTGATAAGGTCGGTTTAATGGTGATGATAGTGGGGTTGAGAGTGTGGAGTGGGTCTTCCGGGTCGTTTATAAGGAGTTTCACGCAGAGAGTGAATCTCAGGGTAGCATTTGCTTGACAAAGTGAGAACCTGAGCGCGGCGCTTGCCCAAAGAGAATACCGCGTGAAATGAAAAATGAATTCCCCGAATGTCTTGGTCTCAATACCATTGAAAACTACGAAACTCCCCCTGTTTGGGTACATGTGCTTCCACAGATCGTCTTCACTTTTCGGTGTGAATTGCAAACGAGATTTTGGGTTTTCGCTGTTACTCATAGTGATCAACAGCGAGCCGAAAGAGACTGCAATCAGTGTAGTTCTTACTAGCACAGAGAAGGTAAATACAATGTTGACATGGCTAATGGTACACAACATACCAAAGGCGTCCACGGGTATCAAGAAATCAATCAGTCTGCCTCTCCGAAGTCGCTATGTCCCGTTTCGGCTGCGTGCTCCATCGCGCCCCGTTCTCCTGCCCCTTTCCAACCGCACGTGTTGCACTTGAGATCGAATTTCTGTGTATCGGTGTAATAGTGGGCTTTCTTCAGCTGCCCGCAAAGTTCCCTCGCAGCTTCAAGAATCACATCGTCCGCCGCATCGAATATCTTAACATCTTGCGAAGGATCTTGCGTGGACGCACCTTGGGGCACGAAGGCGATCGTGTCGTAGTGGATACCAGAATACACGACGATACAGCGCCTCGGTCTGCCCTCGTTGAATCGGTCCACCCGGTTGTCCTGGACATTGACACTGGCGATCTCGATGTCAAACTCTTGGGAAAGGATGCTGAGTTCGATGCCACCACCCCACGAGTCGGCATACGATATCCATTTGCAGTACTCATCTGGAGAGCGTTGCAGAATCGCCTCGTTGTACTGTTCCGGGTCTCTTTGAATAGCTTGCGCAACCATCGATCGAAGCTCGGTCATAGAATCGAGAGAATCTGTCAGGACTGCGCTACCAACAGCTCGAAACATGCAGGAGTTATCGTCAGGCATGACCCGAAGGACCATAGTGCCACCGCGGTCAGGCACGGGAACCTCGGGTGTTTCCTTGAGCGCCGAGTTCTGCTTCCGTTGAAGGGATAGTGGCGCCGCCTGTGATGTGTTTGCCTGTAGTTCTTGCTCCTGCTTCCGTTCGCTCGGGTCGCCAGTGGCTTGTGCAATGACTATGATGGATGCGCCGTTCAGCTTGAGATCGATATCCTTCAGCAACGTCGACATGCCGTATAGGGAAGGGTCGAGCGGTTGAGGCGGGTGGTTCCATTTCAGCTCGAAGAGTGGTAGTTCTGTCTTCTCGCTGATAGAGGACAGAAGGTCCGAGACGGCGGCGTTGTCGTCGAGTGATAGTGTGTGGGTGCCATTCGGCGCGCGTAACCGGATGCGAATCGGCATGGTTTGATGGGTCGGCTGGAGAGATGGAGGGATATACGTGTACGGAGGGATACAGGTGAGGGAGCTTCGAAGGCGTGGCGCGTGATGACAGTTGACTGGTGGGGCGACTTAGCGGTGGAGAGCTGCGCTGGTATTAGGGAAGCTGCGATGAGTGAGTTGGTATGAAGAGACGTAAATCTTCACGAATGCGCAAATATGAGGAGAGCTTTGTTAGGAAGAAAGGATCGTTTGTCAGCTACGGGAGAACGCTACAAAGACGACAGTTTGCACGGATCGGGTGACATGGCTGGCGTACGTGAAGGTTCCCGAATCATGGAGGAGGCCGGCCGTCCCCGGGGATCGGCGAATCTTACCTCCGTCCGGCGTCGCGACTTCCAGCATCCAGGACGCGACACGCCAACACCTAGCGCAAGAAGGATACCGAACACGACAGCATCGAGTCGACTATCGCAAACATGGCGACCGGACGCGCCCCAAGCTCGACACCGGTGCCCACGACCGAGACGGCTGAGTCCGCCGGCGCAACGTCTACCGTCACGGCGCCAGAATGGGAGGCCATGGCCAACCTCCTCAAGAATGTATACGACTACAGGATCGACGAGTAAGTTTCGACTTTATATGCGCCATGCTGCTCCCAGCTGATCAAAGTGCAGTGGAACATACGATCCTACCAAGCTCTTCCAGCGCAAAGTGAACAAGCGCGCCGTGCCCGACTACTACGATATCATCAAGGAGCCCATGGCCCTGAGTACGATAAAGGCCAAGATTGCGCAGCGAGAATACAAGAACTTTTCCGAGTTCGTACGCGACCTGGCGCTCATTCCCCACAATGCGCAGGTGTACAACAGGCAGGACTCGCAGGCATATGTCGATGCGCTCGAAGTAAAGAAGGTCATCGAACGCGAGCTGAAGAGGCTAGTCGACGACAAGATCGTTCCCGAGACAGTCGCCACCCTGCCGTTCTTGGGAGAGATTCCCGAACAAGACCCGCTGTTACCAGAGGAGGAAGAAGAGGAAGAGGAAGATGACGATGAGGAAGAACTCGAAGTGGACGAGGAAGAGGATGAGGACGAAGAAGATGAGGGCAAGCGCAAGAGGCGCCGCGGACCGCGTTCCACAGCAGCTATCACCAAGCGTGAAGGCGGTTCAAGAGCAGCAAAGGAAGACGCCAAGGCCGACGATCCAGAATCGCGGAAGAAGCGCGGACGACCGCCGCGGGTCGACACTCCTATGGAAGCGCGAATCAAGACCATTATGAAAGCAATCAGGAAACCGCGGAACCAACTCAACAAGCTCATGGTGAGCGCATTCGAGCGCGTCCCGGACAAGACAGTCATGCCCGAGTATCACTCTGAGATCAAGAATCCAATGGCCATGGACATCCTCAAGCGCAAGCTCAAGCGAAAGAAGTACAACTCTGTTGATCACTTCATGGTCGATGTAGAGCTCATGTTCGAAAACGCAAAGCAGTACAACGAAGAAGACAGCCAGATCTACAAGGACGCTGTGCATCTCCAGAAGGAGTCGCGCAAGGTTGCAAAGGCCGAGAAGGAGAAGCCGGATACCGAATACGTCATGGAAGAAGGCCGTATCCCTATGCCTAGCGGCATCGTTCACAACGGCGAGCTGTGGAAGGTCGGGGATTGGGTGCATATTCAGAACGCGAACGATCTCACAAAGCCGATTGTTGCCCAGATCTACCGCACTTGGCAGGACGCGAATGGTGGGCAGTGGGTAAACGCCTGCTGGTACTACCGCCCAGAGCAGACCGTGCACCGTTTCGACAGACACTTTTTCGAGAACGAAGTTGTCAAGACTGGCCAATATCGAGATCACCGCATCGACGAGGTCGTGGACCGATGTTTCGTTATGTTCATCACCCGTTACAACAAGGGCCGTCCCCGCGACTTTCCTTCTGATAAAGAGATCTATGTCTGCGAGGCTCGATACAACGAAGAGAACCACAAGCTCAACAAGATCAAGACATGGGCCAGTTGCTTACCCGACGAAGTGCGAGACAAGGACTACGTAATGGATCTCTTCGATGCGCCTCGAAAGTTGAAGAAGGTGCCCAGTCCGATCGCGTACCTGCTCAAGGACGAGCAAAAGGAGGACGACGATCTTCCAAAGCCAGAGTGGGGAGCTGAGAATGCTCCCCCAAAGATTGGCGCCGTGCATCGTCGTCCGCGTGACCCCAAGGTAAGTGAAAACTGCTCTAGGCCACCATGAGACCCAAAGCTAATAGTTCTTGTAGGATTCACCACCTCCCGAGCCCACTCCACCGCCGCCTCCGACACCTCCACCAGCACCCACTATGCCTACTCCAAGCTTACCTACGGCTTCGTCACATGGCTACGACTCCTCGAGGAACTATCCGATTGCGCAAGCGCCGACTCTGACGCCAATGCCTGCCCCTACACCGCAACAGCACCATGTCGCGCCAGCGTACACACCGACTCATGCGACACATTACCATACGCATTCTCAGTCGCCCGCCCCTCATATGCACCCGCAGGCACCGCAAGCACCTGCCTATCAACCTATCACACCACATGTGCCCTTCACACCCCAGCCAGCTGCGCCCATGCAGGGTTTCCAGACACCGCGGGCCGCGCAAGGCTACCAACAACCGTATCCACAGCAACTGCCGCTTAACTACAAAGCCCCGCAGCCTGTGGAGGTCTACGTCATGGCCGACCATGCAAACGCCAGTATACCGCTTGAGATTCGCGAGCAGTTCCAGCGTGACGAAAAGGGCCGCATCTTGTTCTTCACCGCGCCGCCTCTCAACGTGGAACAGCCGCTGACTAAGGATGGGCGCGCATTGGGACACTCGGCTCGTTATCTCGCTGCTAAGGCAAAGAAGGAAGCTCTGAAGGCTTCAAAGCGTAAAGCTGGCGAGGCGAATGTCGATGAGCGTGACCAGGCAGCGAAAAAAGCCAAGGCTGATGAGGAGGCAAAGTTCAAGAAAGCTGTCTCGGAGCTCGGTACGAAAGCACTAAAGGCATTGGAGGACCAGCTCGCCATCGCTACAAAGACGGATTTGGAGGGTCTTTTCAACGGCCAGACTGAAGAAGGCATCTCCGCGGTTCTGGATCAGCTCACCACCGCGCAGAAGATGGCTGTGCAGCGCGAATTGGAGCGTGAGATACACATCAAGGAGCGCGAGGAAAGTAGGATGACAGCAGTCACCGGTATGACGGCGAGATTGGAGGAGAAGTACTAAGGTACTGTGTACGATCCATTGTATTTGTGATATCCAGTGTAAGGTTACAAAGAGACCACGGCGTTTTGATGCTTGATAGTGGTTCTGGCTCCACACGAGTATATTCTGGGTATGCTTTGCTAAACTCAATTGGAACTTTTGTCTATCTGGGCCATCATCACCTGGGCACCTGTGAGTCCTCATAGCTCCCGTCCGTATAATTTCTTCACTCACTTCCGTCATAACAGAGGGGCCTGAATCTTTGAAGAGCGCATTGCTTTTATGTTGAGGCTCGACTAATTGAGAAACCTCGGGAATGCCGATTGCTCACTCGTTGTAGTACCTAAAACGGACACATGAAGCCGGTATTCTACCTCCTTGAGTCTGAATACCTTACTTACCCATGGCGCATCATCTCTTGCAATACATGCTGGTTCTTCAAGCCCAAAATCATCTTAACCTCATGTCCGACGTCGCTGCTTTGTCAGCCCGAGAGTCTTCTACATCAACGAAACCAATACCGCAAGCCGGTCTAGTTCTCGTCGCTCAGATTCCTCCTTCCTCTGATCCATGGCTTGCCTAAGCAGGAAACGACACTTGCCATATTGTCCTGATTCCGCAGCCGCTAGTGCGGATTTGCCGTCCTTTCCAACAGAATTGGGGTCTGCGCCGTGATCAAGCAGGAACTCGACGTCTTTCGCGAAGCCATCCTTCGCCGCCTGCCATAAGACATTGCTTCCATCGGGTGTGATAGCGTCGACGACTGCACCACTCTTGATAAGCATACGTGCAATGTCGTATCGCCTTCTCTTCAGAGCGTGCTGGAGTGAGGTTTTGTCCGAGCAGAGTTCGTTTGGTCCGACGACGCCATCTTTCAGCAATATTCTCCAGAATACGATCCCACCTCTTTTGTACAGTATTTCCATAGAGATAGAATCAATACGGTAGTGTGTCTTACTTCCTTCCTTGACATGCGCTACAGCCCCAGGGTTGTCGACTCCTAAGACGCGGTACAATACGGCCGTGTTGGTACTGTCAATAGCACAGTAGAGGAGCCGGTCACTAAAGGACCAAGACATAGATCTAGCGAAGGGCTCGTTCGCATCGCGGAAGTCAAACAGCGTGCTTGCTGCGACATTCTTATGCAAACGCACAGCCATGCACAAAGCTTCGCCAATCTGCCGAGCAGCACTTCGCATATCCTTCCACGTCTTAGCTTCGGGCTTGCCCTTGACGTTGTCAACGATATACTTGAGGATCTTTCGAAGCATAGCATCCTGATCCGCCACGATGGCGGCTTTGAGCGCGCTCGGCAAAAGAGCGTGACTTTGTTCGAGGAGCAGAGCTGGTGTGAGAGTGAGCGTTTCGAAGAGCCTCATATTTCCTGTTGCAGCAGCGATAAAGGGTATCATGTCCGCGAGGTTATATGGCCGCCCTCCTTTGTTGGCCTTCTCGGTACCCTTGATGTAACCGTGCAGGGCTTTTGATTCGAGGGCCATCATGCTAGTGCATACGATCATGATTGCCGCTGGGTAAAGTGTGGGATCTGGTTTGGACGCTTTGACCATGGCCCGTATGAAGTGGATGACTTGGTTTGGTGCTGTTTGGCGTCGCATAGTAGCCTTGTAGAGGATTTCAACCCGATACGTGTCGAAAAGACGGGCGGAGAAGGGGTTTTCCAGGAACTTGGCGAGGTTCCTAGAAGCAGCGACTGTAACGGTATGATCCTTGATTGTGTTTGCGAATGTTCCTGTTGTTTCTCAGTATACACGTGCACAAGGCCTCTGATTTGCACTTACTGCAGACGAGTCGATAACGTACGACAATTCCCCGGCCGACCTTGTTTGCCAGCGCCGCTATGACTTCCTCAAAAATCTCTATGGGTAGATTCAATAGCGGCATGTTGAGGTTCCCTCTCAGGGTTGCCGGTCGTGATGTGTAATGATCTGATTGGTGTTGGTCTGGTGCAGGATACTTCTTGTGGTATCAAAGAAGACAATAGCTTTAGCAAGACGGGGAGCGCGTGGACAGTGGGTCACAATCCGCCTTCACCTTGGGGCCGGCCTCTCACTTGATGAGTCGGCTAACAATCACACAAATGCGGCAGGTGCATGAATGACTGAAGGTGGCTTTCTCGATCGGATCGATGTAGTATACGATCCAACTCACTCTGTTCTACAGGCTTAGCAAACCTAGAGAGACGTCTAGGTACAAATTGTGCTGCTCGCATGATCATGTCCTGACGATGGTTTGTAGTCTCCTCAACGTCGTGTGATGTCATGGCAAACATCGACAGCACGTCAGCTGCCTATAGGCTCAACCTATTAATATGAGCGTATTCTTGTCAATGTGCATGCACGACGACCCGTATCACTTGTGAGATTTTTGAAACGCCACCACCTGCTCATTACCATTTTCTGCTTGCCAACCCGATGGCCGGAGATAGTCCAAACCTCATGTTTACACCTTCCAGGGCGGGTAACAATCCATACAATCCAGAGTGAGTTGAGCAGAACTAGCTCGCATCGTTTACTGACCATCAATAGCCCCACCAGCGATACCATTACTGTGAAAGTGGGGATGCCGAATTTCAACGATGGAAAGGACATCTTTACTGTTCAGAAATCCGTCCTTTACAACGATGATCAGTTCCGTGGTGGGTGTTGGATCAATAGCGACAGGACGGTACATCTCAGAGCAAAACCCGAAGACTTCAAGACCTACATGACATGGCTGTACACCCGCCGGCTGCCGGAGCATATTGCGGACCCAAAACCCAAAGCTGGATACCGAGTCGAACCTGGACTGGCTGCCGACTTCATATGATCTCGCGCGTAAAGTTGGTGATCCACGTTATCAAGACGTTCTGATCAGTCGGATGATCGAGTGCGCGCGAAGGATCGAAAGCTTCCTAAATATATCGTTCGTCGCAAGCTTATATGACGTGACAGAGGGTCTTGCGCATGCGCCGGACATCCTTGGTCGAGATTTGATGATAGATATCTGGACGTGGAAATGCCGACCTGAATGGCAGGGCCTAGACTTTCTCGAGACAGCTTACGAGCTCGCGGGGGATCTGATTTCAGCGTTAATTGCTCATCGCAATACATCACCAGAGGAGTTGGTGGAGCCATGGGCGAGCTCCCAGGCTGACCGGTATCTAGTTGGAGCAACTGAAGACGAATGATGGTGAGAAGGCATTTTGTTAGAATAAGCTGCAACTTGGGGCGATTTCTTACAAGACCAGTGCGAAAATAAAAATGCAGCAGCTTACATCCTTCACAGGAGGTTGCTTCGGTTGGAGAGCACTATGACGTGCAGTAGCGGCTCGGCAAACGCGTGAAGACGCGTCATCCCGCGATTACCATGCCGGGCTTCCATTCACCCACTTCAACGCGTATGGTTCCGCGCATGAAGAGTCATATTTGCACCACTTGATGCTTCGCAAATGTCGCGATGTGAAATCTCTAATCCACTATGGCCTTAGTGCTCACATGGCGCAATCATAACGACCAGCATCGCTATTCCCACTCGAGGACCCTGCCGAACTCACAATACATGCGCCGGCCACTCCTTCGATCTTTCGGATGGCAGGATGCCGCAGAATCGTTCGGACATGTCGGCGTCCTACCAATCTACTGCATCAAGCCTAGCAATACTGGCTCGCGAAGTTAGACAAGGGATGTGCAGTACTTCTAGCCTACGGCGGAGTTGCTGAAGTGGTGTTGTAACACGAGACGGATACTGGCTCGCAGCGACCATGGTACGCTTGCGCAACATTATGTCCACAATTCTGTCACCTGGAAACCGTGTTGTGAACACCCCAGGCAAGAACTCATCGTACGCGTTTCCAGGTAGGATGGCTTCCCCTCCAAAACGCCCAAAAAGAGCTAATGTTCATAGTGGTCCTGAGTGAGTCTATAAAACTCTGGTAATGGCGTTAACTTACAAAAACTAGCTTCACGGGCACAACAATCGCCGTCCGAGTCGAGGATGAAAAATTTCAGGTTCACCAGAAGCTTGCGTGTTCGACCTCGGACTTCTTCAAAAACGATGCCGGTATCGTCGCGATTGACGTCGAACAAAAACCAATCCGCATCGACGGTCATACTGCGGCCACCTTCAGAACATACCTCACTTGGCTGTACACGAAGCAGATGGAACATGTAACAGACATAAAGCATGTGTGGCAAACTTTAGTGAGGGCCTTCCTCATAGGGATCACGTTGCTCGATACCACGTTTCGTAATGCAGTCATAGCAAGCATGGCGCAGCGCGCGTGCGCCGGGAGATATCCAAGTCTCAGCATGGTGAAGGAAGTCTATATTGGCACGTCTAAGGGGGCTTCGATAAGGAATCTTCTGGTTGACATATGTGTTATAGCACGGCCAACTCTGTTGGACAAGCTATGCGACCCGGCAGCCGAAATGCACGGAGACTTCGTGAACGACCTACTATGGGCATTCTTCACGTCGCCCCAATCTCGTCCGGCAGACGAGAAGCCGTGGCTCACTGATCCACATCGCTATCTTGAAGCTGTCGGTTAGGCCATGGTGGCTATACCGTCCAATCTTTAGACGGGGATGACCGCCTTTCGCACTTCTTCCATTTCATGACCTATGCGTTGGTTAAAGTAGGCACACGCGTTATCTCATCACGTAGTCGATTTTACCATTTGGAAACTGCTGTGTGACGGCAGCGTTAATATTAATATCACGGTACATATCATGGTTCGATTCAGCGAAGGAGACCCAGGCACCGTATTGTTAGATGGAGACCAACACGTATCAAACACTATCAGCCATCGTATGCAGTTATGTAAAAACATGGCTACTAGTATAGGATAAGCTACCATTCGTCAATTGCAACGCTCGATCATGAACGTGTGATCCTAGCACACATGGTGATGCTACAGGCAATATGTTGAGTTATTGCGCCGCTCGATCGGCCTCTTCCAAAGCCTTGCCCGCGCTCATCTTGCCTAAATTCTCCACTTCCGGCATCAGCGGTGGGCTCGCATTTTCGACGCCATCGGTGTTTCCATCCCACTTCAAACGAACAAGAGCCATGCCCTCGGGATCATCAGCATCCTCTTTCTCTGCGACCAGGATGATGCTTCGGTGGACGGTAGGTCTGAAAGCACATTGTCGTGGATGTGCTCTGCGAATATCGGCCCAAGGATCGCTTGAAGAATGCCAGTTCCCGAGCATCTGGAAGCGAGACTCTTCTGTCTTCTTCATCTTGGCCCATGATGGCTCGAGCATGGAGCTGATGGGTACGGCTATGCAGAGTTAGCTAACGTGCAAAGTCTTGTACATGAGCACATGCGTTAGGTACCTTTTTTTACCAAGCTATACCACCCGTACACTTTCTTGGGCGACCCATCCGAAGTGGCAGGCCCCTGCGTTGCCTTGTCATCTTTGTCGTCATCATCCGCATACGGGTCATCCCCACCCCACTCCTCAGCCTCCAGTTCCTTCAGATCGAACCAATCTTGGTTACCGATATCGATATTGGAACCCCATGAATCCGCCTCGGCATTGCTGCAACGTCCAACGCCTGGAACGTCTTCCTCGTCTTGGCTCGAGTTGAGCAGAACGACTAAGACTCCTTTGTTGCCGAAGTCCTCTTGGTCGGCTACTATGAAGTAGAGCGGATGAATGGTATCGTCTTGGTCGCGTAGCTCGATGAAGTAGTCATAAACGTCTCGCAACGAGCGACCGCTGAAATCTGGCTGCGGAGCGAGTTTAGACCTTCCCGTACTGAGCTCGCCCGTGTTGATGCTTTCTTCAAGCCGTTGGCTGTCTGCTGTGTCTAGAGCAGCTGTGTAGAAGATGGCAAACTTGAAACGATTCAGATCATCTAGCGTGGCGCGGTGAGATTCTGTATTGGGCGCTTTCTTAGGGAGGGTTTTCGCGAGGTCTTTTGTGGAAGACATGTTGTACTCAGTGGTCTGATCGAAGGCAAAGAGTTGGTTTAGATGAGGTAGATGGGTAGGTAGAAACCACGTCTCAGCCGTAGTTCCCAGGTGGGTCAGTTCAGGCAACCGCGAATGCGTAACGAGGAGTGCTATAGTGGGGCGAGCCTTGTGATCAGAGACGGCCCTGCGTACACTATTGTTGCTCAAATTTTAGCGTCGCAGCCGGGCGTAAGCTGATGATGGATACGATGAGAAGTCACAAGTGGGGCAGAGTCGCACGAAGCTTATGTGTGGTGCTGCACACTACCTAGGTATGATGTCACAGATTTGATTATTGGAGGGCTCACTGGCGGGCCGAGCCTTCCCGTTCATGTACAGCCTCTTAGTTCCCGCACGTCTTGACGGTAATGTACGACACCTTCGCTTTCTCTCGGCTTGCCCGGTGAGAATGTCTCAGTATGCTGACGACTTAGTGCTATAGTCGAAGGTTGTACCATTTGTAGACATGGTTTAGTAAACTACTGCTGACCTGTTAAGTTTATCAGCTCTACTAAATACCATGGAATGAAGGGCATTGGCCAATTTCAATCATGATCTCGATGACAAGGCAGATATATGCCGAAGCCCAGCTTATTCACAGCAACGATTCGGGTAATCGGCTTTCGCTTTGCCATACCGGTGAGATTAGGCGCGCCATCTTCGACCATCGTATACGGCAACTACAAGCAGATCAATTCGCGCCTCATCCTTCTAACTTCTACCCGAGGCGGCTCCAACTGCGGTTCTGGAGATCATTGGCAAGATTCTGAAACTAGTTCAAGAATTCGATCATACGATTGCATCGACTATGTTCAGCTGTGAGTACAGAAGAGGCCTCCCAATACTTGGGCAGGGTTGACATGGGCATGTAAATGGGGGCCACGACGAGTATATAGAAGGCAGTCTCGATAACATGTATTCTAAACAACAGCCGTCTTCAAACACTTGCATATCATACTACACAAGCCATCATGTTCAAGACTCTCCTGGTTTCTGGTCTGATAGCCTCCGGGCTCGCCGCACCCGGTATGATATTCAACTGTAACGACAACCTCCAAGGTAAATGTCCCTGAATCCTTGGAAGCGATTAATACTCAACTAGACTCAGATATCTGCAACAACATGTGCTGGGGCGCTTACTGCACTAGACCATCATTCGGAGTAACACTGGACTATGACCGCTATGGTGGTACTGGGAATCGTGACAGTGCTGTCGGAAGAGCCCGTCAAAGATCGGCTGGCTGTCTTCCGAGGCCCAACCGTTGCAGTGTAAGACTCCATCAACTTTCCAAAGGATTTGCTGACCCCCACATAGACGGCCGGTGGTAATCCGCGTGCTGGCGAGAACTGCGACGAGTATCCATTCGCCAGTACCTCTGATGCCGATGCGGGTGGTCAAGTCACCAAGTGTGTCATCAGTAGGCACAACAGCCGTTAGTCCTCACCTCCCCCAAAGACAACTATGCAAACGAGCTAATGGTTCTATCATAGGTCAAGGCCGTATCATCCAACAATACTACACCGGCACATGCAACAGCCAGCCCTGCCAGTTCATCGTGGGCTTCGGCAATCCGGCCGCAAATGGAGTGCAATACTGTCAAGCTTACAATGATCCTCATGGTCAGTGTATCAATAACCAGACTGCGCGAATCTACAAGAACGGCGCCCCAGATGTGCGTCCAGCAACGAAGAAGCGCTCTGAGCTTGAGTCTATCGCACAGGCTGCGCTCTTCCGAATGGCTAGTGGCATGGAAGTACTGTTGCGTAAGTCTTGTTTCTTTACTCCTTCAAGTGGATGTGTCCCCGTCGACTAGTGCTGACAATCGTATAGCAATCGACACTGTACTCAACAGCACTTGGGTCCACCCCACTCCTCGCAACATGACTATGAAAGCATGGGTCGAGGAAAACGATGAGGACGAAGACCACATTGCCTGGGACTTTGTCGAGGACTTTGTCGCTACTAGGCTTGACTAAAGCCGCTTTGACACTTTCCCACTGCTCAGCCTCGCAAAATTCCCCGTGTTCTCCGAAACACTGACTTCCATTGAAGCTTGGTACTGCATCAGATTATCGTCACTTATCCGATCCATCAACACGACTGCATATTAAAACTGAGCATCATGGCTAGGAGTACCTTTTCTTTCTTTCTCTATCTACCTAGGTATAGATCATTACTTTGTAGCAAGCAATCTACTATACCCAATTCGCGTGTGGCATGTCATCATCCTCTTCATCATCACTCTCAACACGGCCCTCCTCCCCAGACGGTTCAATCGACTGTGACTTTTTGATGGTACGGAATTTGACAACACGTTCTCTTTTGGGCGATAGAGTCTTCTTCTTCTCTTTCGTCGTAGTAGCTTTGGCCTTAGTGGTCCGATTTCCCTTAGCCTTAGTAGCCTGCTTTCTCTTCGTAGCTGATACAGCAGGTTCTGCTGTCGAGATACTCTCGGCGCTTTCCAACTCACTGTCGTCCGAGCCGTGAGCAGCCACATCCTCCTCCTTCTTGACCTTTCTGCCTTTGGTTCCGCTATTCTTTGCTACTCTGGCATTCTTTGTCTTCTTTATGTTGTTCTTTTGCTGTTGCTTGGCCCCTGTCGTGCTCTTGCCAGTAGTTCTAGGCTTCTTCACAAGAACACATAGAGCCCTAGCGCGTATCCCCTCCTTAGCTCCAGTGTTAGACCTTGGTTTAGGTGAAGGTGACTTTGACGTTCGCAGCGCTGCCTCCTCGGCGGCCCTCTTTCTAGCCGCAGCCTCTTGGGCTTTCCGCAAAGCATCCTCGTTAAGACTTTCGCGAACTCCTGCTCGTCTCTCTCGAGTAGAAGCCGCGGTGGCAACGATCTTTGGTGGCATAATGATGATTATCGACTGCTTGGGACTGGAATCAATGCAGCGGCTTGGTGGTGAGTTCGATTGGGTATCACAAAGTAATTGTGTTCCGAAGATTGGCGAATGACTTTGTGATTTTGAACCGTAGACGGGATACTAGGCGCGAACTAAATAGCCCTGTCTTGTGTCGACCGCCGCATGCGGCCGATATGGTCGCGAACAAAGCCATACCAAAGAACCACAGAGGTTGAAGTAGATCCACTAAGTGATTATGGCGAAGATGCTTTGTTCCGAGACGTCAAAGATCGAGGACACTGTTGCGAGTTAAAAGTCAAGTACCGTGAGGGCCGACTGCTTTGCCTTTGTCTGTGAGTTAGAGGGTCTTGGGTACACCCAACCGTCCCACATAGACGCGCAGAGTCAAGCCAGCTGCCATTAAAACAGATAGGTATTGAGGGTATACTACCAAATGAAGATACATGTTATGACACTTCGTGTGCCTTCGCCTGCCATGATCGTGATCGTAACAACCTTGCAAACACCAAAAACGCGCGTAGCCCCAACAAACGCCAACAATACCGCAAGTCGTACGCTCATGTAATGATATGCTAAATACTCGCAATGCAAAGCGAGACTAACCGGCAAATGCAAATCGCTTAAGGTTAAACAACGGTTTTCGGGGTGAGCACTCGCTCTCGGCTTCGCTATCCGGAACAAGGAGGTCTTCGCTCCCCTTGAGTGATGATCTCCTCCTCTTCGCAGGCGTCATAGGAGGCGGTGAACTCGCGGCTATGACTACCTCGGCCTCTACAGCCGCCCAAGCAGAGACTGCAAGTTTCACGTCTATATCTTTCTTGGACGGTGTTCCGGGGATAATGGATTCCTCATCGGGCGCCGAAAAGGTTGTAAGAGCGGAAGCTTGAGATGGTGGTGTAGGTTGCCATGCCTCAGTGGGTCGACGGTTAAGACGACTCTTACTAGCTCTTGGTATACCCGGTGCTGGTGAGGGAGACTTGTATGTGAACTTTGATCGCAGCTCACTCATTGTGGATGCGATTGCAGCGCTGAAGGCCGTCTCGGGCTCGGGGGAGGTTGCCGGCGTGAGAGTGCCGATAGTATCTTGTGACTGCGCAGTGCTGCCCCTGGAGAAGACGGTCGACTGTGATTCGCTCCTAAAGCTGGACTGTGTATCACTGAAGACCCGTAGCTTCTTCTTAGAGGCAGACGCCGCTTGCTCTAAATCAGCCACTTCGGCCATAACCTCCTGTATTGAGTCATCCGAATAGAGCTCGAAGTCCTGGTCGGTCTTCCTCCTCCTACTTTTCTCTCGGTGTAAGGTTGGGCTTGGTTCTGGTATAGAAGGTGCGAAAAATTGGCTCCGCACAACACCCTCGTCGCCAGCGGCGAGTGTCTCGGAGACAGAATCGGAGCACAGTCGTTGTCTCTTAGAAGGATGCGGAACCGAACGTCTACCCGCAGTTGGATCAGTCATGGTGCGTCGTGGTGGTTGAGGCGCCGTACTAGGCGTAGGAGGGTTTGGCCGTAAACGTGAAATCGGAGCAGGCACTGCAGCCCATCCATTAGACTCTCTCTGTTGTTCCAGCAATACTTGCTGACTGGGTGAGGGTGTGAAAACATTGGGCGACAACTCGGCCAATGGCGTACGCTTAGGCTTGAAGAACGAATCAATCGGCTTTGAGCCTTTCGCGTCGGGTGTCTGAACAATTGTCGAGGCTCTCCGAGAGGGACCAAACGATTTGCCGCTAGGCCTACTGTTGCTGATGATGCTCATCGGAAGTTTTGTGCGTGGGTATAGGTCACCACTTGCAACACCCATGGCGAGGTGTGCAGGTACCTCCTCTCCAATGTAGGGCATATCAGCAAGATCGACCCCTTCATCGAGTGGCGTAAGATTGACCAGCTGCTTGGCGACCGGACAGTAGACCCATTGGTAAAGGAAGGTTTTCTCGGCCTGATCAAACAATTCCAAGAAACCAGCGGGCACCTTGAGCTTGCCGTCGTATTGCGCAGCTTTGACAAGACGGTCGACAGTCTTGTGTTTCCGCAACATTCGATGGGCAGTCTTCAGGCCAAGTCCACCGATACCTGAGAGATAATCGCAACCGCTGAGGATGCACATTCTTCGAAAGTCGGCGTCAGACCATCCCACGAAGCTGACTTCCCTACAGGCTGTGAAGTGATTCCGGTTGATCTCGATGCATTCTCCGTATTTGTCCAGCTTTGTTATCAGGCACTTGACGCCGAAGACGAGTAGATCGGAGTCTTCGGACAAGACCCCATGGATTATGCCCTTCCGCTCCAGGTATGCAAGCTGCGAATCAGCTTCGTAAGGCGCGACGACGTACTCGATGTTGTGCTGCTTCAGTTCTTCGATGACCATCCGCGCCATTTCCGGTGTCACGTCCACGCTCTTCTGCAATTCCTGTTGCGCCTGTGCTGTCTTTCCGACCTTGAGGAGCTCCAGCCCGAGCCTCTTGCCCTCCTTTCTTCGTTCTCTTCGATCTTTCTCCGTGCCAGCTTTGCTCGGTAAGTTGTCTCCGTCGAATACAAGGTAGGGGGTGACGCCGAAGTGGATGAGCATGCGGACGCGGTGCATGACAAAGTCGACATATCTAAGGATGAAGGTTAGTAAGCACTCGTCATCCATGGATGCATCAACGCATACTTGGTCGTCGGCTTCTCGAGCGCCAGGTCAATCGCACAGGTCGCGGTAGCGCGGTGGAGCCAGCCATACGTGTCGACGCCTATCGTCTTGCCGGCGTATTTCTTGAGAGTACATGGTTGCTGAACCGACTTGAGCAGCGGAAGGAGGCCTGTTCGACTGTCAGTATTGTAGACGGGATGATTGGGTGTACCAACCTGAGATGCCCATCTTGTACCCTTTGCCGCTCACGCGTCCGTCCTATACAACGGGCAGAGAAGCAACAGCTACCGCAACATGGTGGTTTCGCAGTCTGGTGACGAGAGGAGAAACGCCCTTATGCACTGCGAATCAAGCGAAAAAGAAAAGGGAGCGCGTTCACATCGATAGTGTGGAGCAGTCATTGATCGCGGGTACACGAGATGACAGGAACGCGCCCCGCTAACATATGCACTAGTCCGTGTCCGACGGCTAGCGTGGTCGCGATCGCCGAGCGCCGATGGATGTCCAAAATTTCTTGCGCAGACACCAACACCAAACAAAACGTCAAACTTTCAAAATGGTCAGCAATCGTCTCGACAAGGTGCACAAGAAGATTACGAAGAAGAAGGGAAAGAATCCCAACCTGCACGAGGGCAGCCGAGATACCAAGCGGCTACAGAGCGCAGCGCAGAGAGACGAAAAGCTCAATCGCGTTTTCAGACAACGAAAAGATCAAAATCGAACATACGGTATGCGTTATGTTTGCAATAGATTGACTGTATTATCGCTAACTAGTGATAGTTAATAGAGTCAAATCATTCCAATCATATACCGCAGAGCATGTTGCATCACTCAGCGTACCGGAGATCCAGGCCATGATTGAGGATTACTTGGGTCGCGATGACGAAGAGCTGGCCCAACTGAAAGCAGCTCGTCGTCCGGGACGACCAGCAAGCACGCGTCAAAATTTGTTGGAGATCCACCAGAACACCGAGCGAGACGAGTATGCCGCTGGCTTCTGGGTACCGGACCTTGAGGACGAACTCAACCTGAAGAAGCTGAAAGACTGGAACGGCGAGTGGGCTCAGCTGGCCACGCTCAAGTTTTCCAGAATCTCAAAGGAGGGTTTCAAGAAGGAGTCTAGCTTCCCGCCCAAGGGCATGTCATGAGCGAATGAGAAATGCATGGATCGGAGTAATTGAAGGATTCGGGCGTTTGGGAGCAAGTTACAACAGAATCGACGTGGACTTAGCGCTACGTCGTAGATATACCCAGAAAAGTGTAATTTACCATACGACGGCTTACAACATACGCAACATTTTCTTAGCCACTTGTTTCAGGATCGAACTTGAAGTATCAGGAAAGGGAGCCTGGTTATCTACTTGTACTGTTGGAACGCAACATGCCAAACCTTCATCCCCTTCGGCCCGCCCCTCAGATGCGGGATAAGCTTCCCGAAATCCTCAGTCTTGCGGAATTCCATATGCGCATCTACACTTGGCCATCCAATGAACGCCGCAAACAGCTTTCCATCAACACCCTCACCCAGACTCTCATGCTTCTGCGGTTCAACACTCCATCCACCAATCACTCCTTTGGCCTCAACATTAGGTATCTCAGTTGCCATGGTGCGGAAAGTAGAGAACTGAGAGCTATATTCCTCTTGATTGTAGTCGGGGGCGAAGAAGGCGTTTATGCACTCGGTTACGGGCATGGTGAATGGGTTATCGCTTCCAGACTGCGAAGTGGGAAAGTTGATGTGGAAGATTGTTGGGTCGTCGCCAGATGCAAGCTTGTCCATGATGGTTGCTAGGAAAGGCTGGTAACCTGGGGTCTTTTCGAATGTTCTATGGTCCTCGATAGATTCCCATTCTACATTCGGTCAGCGAAAGTGCAAAGTGACACCACTTGCGCAGCGATCTATCGAATAAGACATGAAAGGTCACGTACCCACGGCCATTTGCACGGTGTCTGGGTTCTCGATCTGTCGGCCCCAGTACAATGCTTTGGCACCGGGCTGTTTGGCAATAGTGCTGAGTGTTGACTCCCATGTTTCTTTCGCTTCGTCCGTTGAGAGATCGAGGCCGGGTTTCATGGGTATGTACACAATCTCGGTAGCCTTTTCCGACATTTTGGGTATGTAATTTGTATGGATGTTGTGGTTAGTGGTTTGAGTGGTGAGGATTGAACTAGAGGAGGTAGGATAATAGTAAGAAGTCAGACAATGAGGCAATGAAGAAGTAGAGCTATGGTGTTGTTCTGTCGCATCTTGCTACATGCATACGATGAGCTGTTTGCCCCACACCAAGCTTGACGTAGGGAAGGGCCGAAAGTGGGGTAACAAAGTGGAACCAGACACGATCGAGGCCCTTCCGATATTCCACCCAATCCTTCCGCGTCCTGAGATTCATATACAACTGACATGGTAGCAACCCGAGAGCTTGCAGCAGCATTTGGTAAGCGAACCTAGGTATCGCAACTTGACCTCCAACCTTATCCACGCCCAAGTACTTTCCATCCCACACCCAGATTGCTTCTCAGTTCCAGCCATGCTTGTTATAACAGCTCCCCAAGGTATCAACACTACCATCACACCAGAAGAAGAGCTCCTCTCAACCCTGCGCAGTCCCGTCATCTTCGTACACATGTGTCGCCTCCGCCTTTCAATTTTTGCGCACAGGTGACACATGCTTTGGTACCGCAACCGAAACATTGCCTTGAGAACTCGTCGAGTATTCGAATACAGAATGCGCAAGTATGCTGGCCTTCAACCCTAATCCACAACGTATCATGGTCACAGTTGGATCTCCTCGCTCGTGATCGTTCTGCTGCTGTGGCCTCATACTGCTTTGCTGCATGTTCCTTTGCCGCGCGCTTCCTCGATTCCTCTTGTCTTGCACGGTGAGCTGCTTCTTGCCTCGCACGATGCTCTGCTTTCCGTCTTGCACGAAGCTCCGCTTGCTCTCTCGTACGACGTTCTGCTTCCTCTCTCGCACGATGCTTTTCTTCTTGTCTCGCATACTCCTCTGCTTCTTTTCTCGCCCAATACTCTGCTTCCTCTCTCATGCGACGCTCTTCTTTCTGTGTCGCCCAATACTCTGCTTCCTCTCTCGCATACTCCTCTGCTTCTCTTGCTGCTTTCTTTGCTGCCTCCCATCCTGCTTTTTGTTCTGCTTCTCGCTTCGCTTTCTTTCGTGCTTTTCGGGACTCCTTTTCAGCACGTTGTTCAGCCTCCCATGCTTGTCTTGTCTGTTCCCACTGTCGGGCCTGTTCAGCCTTTTCTTTCGCAAGTCGTTCTTTCCTCGCCTTCTCAGCCAGCTCAGCCACAAGCCTTTCGCCTTCTTGATTTTTTCGTTTCGTGAGGTCATCGTTCAGCTGTTCGAGCCGTACCCTTGCTTCGTCTAGGCGTATCTGCTTGATCCGAATGACGTTCTCCGCGTTGATTGTGGCTAACGTGATGTCGCTCTTCTCTTGTTCACTCAGTCTGTTGCTCAAGAAGGCCAATGTGCCCGCTTCCGACTGATTGTCGTTTGCTAGCTTTGCTCGATTCTCAAAAACATTCCTGTTCAGGCACTCGAGTTCGGCTTCAAGAGACTTGACAGTGTTACGACATTGACGAATCTGCTCTTTCTGAGATCTCTCATAGTTGAGCCACTCTTGTCGTATCCGGTTGTTCTCTGCTTGTGCACGCGCTTCCCTTTGCGCTGGTGTCTCGTTTTGCGGGTGCGGCTGAGGGTTTGGCTGTGATGTGGCTGGAGATGGAGCGTAAGGTTGACTGCCTGAGGATGAAGCAGTTCGTTGTTGACGGCTGCGATCGTATTCGCTCCTCTTAGTCGCATCTTTGAGTACTTCCCATGCTGCGTTGATCTGTGCCCGACGTTAGTACGGCTCACTCGTCAAAGCACGGTGGCCTCTCCGCACAAGCTGAATCGTCGCGGTCGCATGTTGAGATCCGATGTTCTTGTCCGGGTGATGCAATAGTGCGAGGCGGCGGTATGACGTCTTGATCTCGCCGTACAGCGCAGAAGGTCGCACCCCCAAGGTAACGTAGTAGTCTTGCGTGGGAAGTGCGGGAGCCATCTCCGTGCGGACTACCTAAACAGGTGCTGCTGGGAACGTCGCGTGACCTATAGGTGCTGCATTCGAACGGAAGGACGTTCGAATGTACAAGCGGTATTAGCAAGATGCAGGAGTTTGTGTTGTCACAATCTCGACAGTTTGAGAGCACGGCAGTTGCAGCAGCAAAGCTGTGTTCCGGTTCTGGACGCGCTGTGGGGTTCGCGACGCGTTTACAGACCGCCAAGGAAAGAGAGAGCAAGAGTGAAAGTGACCGCGGGAGAGTGGGAAGGAGTCACCGTCAGTCAGTGAGCTAATCAAGGCCAATCAATATTCACGCTTCCCCATGCTCTATCTATGCAAGATGTATTACATTTTCCTTTTCGATCCCCCATGCATGCAATCGCTATCCAAACGTCCCAAATAACAAGTACGCTTAATCATACACAATCATAATCCAACACCGATATCGACAGAATGTACTACTCAATTGACCTTTGTGACCTTGATCCCACGGTCGAGAAGGGCATTCTTAAGACCCTTAGCGACCTGCTTCCTTGTCCTGGCGGTCTGTCGCAAGCTATCAATATTGTCGTCAACCAGGTCGCTCAAACGCGCGATCTCCTTGCCCGATGTCGGACTGCCTTCGGGTGTGTAGAACAGGCCATAGCCTTTGCTGGGCGTAGGCGTACTCTCAACTTCGGGAGTTAGAGCACGACGGCTTAGATCGGTCAGGGTCATCTTGTTGCGGTTGGTAGGCGGGGTGGCGTAAGGCGTATCGGCAATGCTGCGGCGGAGATCCGTACCGCGTGACCGTCGGGGCGTACCAGCGTTGCGTGATGAAGATGAGGAAGGACGACTGGAGTCTGCGAGGCCGATCTTGCGCAATTGGGCCTCTAGGACGAGGATGTCGTTGTTCTTCTGCTCAGCAAGATTGGCCAACCTGAGGACTGTCTTCTTGACAGCCTCCATGGAAGGCACTGACTTTGTGCTGCCGTTCTGTGCGTTGTGGGACACCAGACGCGAGCGTAGGACTGCGACTGCATCTTCAGCCTTGCGCAGCGACGTTAAAAGCTGAGCATAGTCGTTGCGCAGAGCCTTCTGTCCATCGGCAAGCTCCTTTGGCAATGGTGCCTTTCGGAGAGCTTCTGCCTTTTCGGGATCCTTGCGATTGATGATTTGGCGGCGTATGTCATTAAGACGAGTCATGAGCTTGGCCTTGTCGTGAAGAAGACGAGCGAGCTGTGTGAGCTTGAGTAGCACATCCTGTACCCGCCCTGCATCCAGCTCTTGTTCAAGCTGATCTTCAAGAGATCGCAAGGCTTGAATCTCGCACAAAGTGAAGTTCTCGAACCATGAGCCGTGAGGTCCCTGGTCTTGGACATCATCCAGCATACGTCGATCGATTTGGTGACCAGCCTGGGGCTGTAGGTGGTATTGTGTAAACGACTTGATAGATCGAGCGTTCCAGCCAAGTGCATCCACCATACCGTTGATGTCTTTGTAAATCAACTCGATCTGAGCGGCGTGACCTGTCTTGCTAGGTGATTTACCACCAGTGTAGTTCTGGTATGCGACAAACTCCTCCAGGTTCCGGCTCGGCTCGATCGGCTGCGCAAGCTGTGCTCGTATCCGCTCGTCCTCTTCATCTTCAAGATCAGAGACTTGTGGCTGTGGCGTGGGCGGCTTAGACCCCTGCATGGATGAGCTCAATGAAGCACCCGGTGCGACTAAAGGTTCTCGTCGGAGACGAGAAGCTGAGCTCGAACGAGCTGGGCTAGGCGAGCGAAGGTCTTGGGCGCGGTTCGTCGGAGGCGGGAAGTTCGGTTTCGCAGACATCGATGACTGATCGGGTTTACCAGAGAAGGGGCCTTTGTTCGGTTGCTGTCCGAACAGCGATGAGCCCGAGAACGATGGCTGGTTCGCGGCAGGTTTCGAGGCCTGAGCGAACAAAGAAGGCTGGGCTGGTGAAGCGCTGCTTCCAGACTGTGATGTGGCGCCGGACTTCATTGTGGGAGGAGTCGGTGCAGGGGGGAAGAACTGCCGTGACTGGTTCACACTGTCCTGGAAGCTCCAGGTACCCGCCTTCGCAGCTTGCGGCTTTGACGTCTTGTTTGGCGGATATGTGTCGTCGACTTCTTCAACCTCCTCATCGTCCTCCTCATCAGAGAAACCTTCCTCGTCATCATCCTCTTCGCTCTCGTCGTCATGGTCGTGATCATGTTCTTCCTCGTCTTCGTTGTCAATGGGAGACACATCTCCAGCCGAACTAGGTGCTTCCACCTCAACGCCAGGACTACCAGCGAGCGGAGGCAAATCGTCGCTAGTCGAATTCGGCAACTTTGTGTTGATGAAGTCTGGAGGTAGAGGCGCGTCCTCAGTCTTCGCCGGCTTAGCCTTGGTGAAGTCTGGTGGCAAAGGTGCGTCGTCCACCGGAGTAGCGGGCTCTTGCACAGGTGGTGCAGCCTTGGGGGTTGCGCTCTCCTTTGCAGGAGTATCACTGGGGAATAACGACTTCTGCTTTGGCGGGGATGCTGGTGTCGTGGAGACCCAATTCGGGGGGTTTTCGCTCGCTGGGGTTGCGGGCGGCTTCATCCCTGTCTTTCCTAGCATGTTGGAGAAGTCACTGCCGAAGAAGGAACCGTTGGCAGGAGCCGCAGGCTTCGCCGGATCGTCCTTAGCTGTACCGTCACTTGCAAAAGTAGTGCCGAGCTTGAAGCCACCTGCAAGGCCGAACAAGCCTTGGGACGGCTGAGCTTGTGGTGTAGGTGTAGCTTCGTCCCTCTTTCGGTCGTTTGCCTCGCTCGCATCGGAGTCCTTCGACTCGAACGAGGCCGTGTTGAACGATGACTTGTCTGGCTGTCCAAAGATCGAGCTGCTTTGCTGAGCGGGCGTGCTCGCCCAGGAGGGTAGCGAAGATCCAGTCCCAGAGCCAACGGTGACAGTAGAACCAAAGCTTGGCTCTGTCTTCAGACCTCCAAAGCCAGATTTCTGTTGCCCTTGCCCGAGTGCTCCGAACCCGGAGCCAGCTTGTGCAGAGTTGTTGCTTCCAAAGCTCGAAAAGGAGTTTGACCCTCCAGCAGTTTTGAATTGGGCGAAGCCCGACGAACCACCAGCGGCGGCCGAGAATGGGTTGGATTTTGACTCTGAAGTTTGAGATGTCGCTCCCCATGGCGATGCTTTGCCGCCCATTCCACCTACTGCGCCGAATCCGGAGCCGACACCTACTGCAGAAGGAGCGCCAAAGGCAGGTTTGGCGGGAGTGCCGATTGCAGAGGGAGCACCAAAAGCTGGCTGAGGAGGCTTACCGATTGAAGATGGAGCACCAAATGAAGGCTGTGCAGGTTTACCGAATGTTGGAGCAGGCAAATTGGTAGCAGCAGTACCGAATCCGGGCGTTCCAAAGCCGGGCGGTTGAGGCTTCATGAGAGCGGGAGTTGGTGTACCGAATCCGTTTCCAGCGTTGCCAAAGTGGGGGATGCCAGCTGTTCCTGGGGTGCCGGGTGTTCCCATGGACTTGCTGAAAGGGGTAGATGTAGCAACAGGAAGTTTGGATGCAGGCGTAGATGCCCTCGGTGTAGAAGACGGCGCATGCTGTGTGGCTTCGCTCTTGAAGATGAGACCGGGGTAGCGTTCTCCAGCCTCGATAGACTTGTTCCACATCACCCACCAGGCCGCAAGAAGACCTTCGTGGGTTAGAGCCATGTATGCAGGAAGCGGCCACGGCGCCTCACTGATCTCTTCCAGAGCAGGAATGGGGCGCAGTATCTTCTCCTTGCTCGAAAGATCAAGCGCCTCACCAATGAAGACACTATCCATTTCCTCGTCTCCGTAAGCGGTTCGCGGCACCTGAGCCTTCTTCGTGTCGTCCACGTTGACCATCATGAGCTCGTTACAGGTTTCTTGATCCGGGGAGATCTTGTTGCTTGTGGAGGCAAGTATCGCGATGGAGTCTGCGTGGGAGGAAGTGATAATAAGCATGTCGTCGAGATCGGGCTTCCAGTTTTGTAGGCGTGTGGACGAGATCCGTGCAGGTAGTTGGCGGCGTGGAGCTTCGAATGCCTCGGGAAGAGGATCCCAGACAAAGGAATGGTACGTGAAGGATCCCCAGCCCTTGGCTGATTTGATGACGCTGTACTTCTTTGGCTCCGGGTTATCCTGGTCTTGGTCCTTCAGAGAGTAGACAGCAAGGAACTCTTCAGTTTTCAGCCATGACACGCCGGTCACCTCGTAGTTTTCATCGACGTCCGGGGGTCGTGGAACGATACCTCTTAGGTCTCCAGCGGTCATGTGTATAGCGCAGGTGCCATCAATAGAGCCAGAGACTACAGCCTTTCCGCGCGCACTCCAAGCGGCGCAGTTGACGTGTGCCTCTCGAATCGTCTTCTTGACGCCCTTTTCCACATCGCATATCTCCAGCTTGCCGTTATCGAGGACTATGGCGAAGTATTGTTCGAATTCGGGGGAGGGGTTCGGGAGGAGAGCGCGAACGGGTGCGTCGGTCGCCAGTTTGGTGTCCGCGTCTTTCTTGCCTTGGCTGACGACACTCGCAACATTGTACGTAGTGACGCCGCCGTCGGCCTCATCAGATGTAACCAAGAAATCTCCATCGGCGGAGAAAGCGACATGGCGGAGATTGGGAGTGGAGATGGTGATATCGGGCGTGAAGTCTGCTACGACGTCAATGTCGCGCTCTTCCAGACGCGGGTCATCGGCGTTTGCGATGTCATCGGCTATGGTCTTGTTCTGGAAGGCGCTGCGCACGGAGTCTGTGGACGCGATGACGAGGATGTTGGGGCCGGCAGCAGCGAGAAGGGCGGGTTTGGAGGCGATGGAGAGGAGGTTTGCGCACGCAGGCGGCAGGTTATCGGCAGACCATGGCCGGGGCAGGATCTTGACCTTCTTGGGGCCCTGTTTGCCCTGGTTGAGGACCTTGAAGCCGAGATGCTGTGTATTCGTTAGTACCGTCGCATGGCGGTCTGGTGCGAGCTGTAGCTACCTCAGTCTCAACTTCGGGCACCTCA